GAGATGCTGTGCTGTGCTTTTTGGCCATCTATGGATATGTTAAAATCTCCCCCTATAATTAATATACCTGATATGTGCTGTTGTACCTTGGCAAGAATTCTACGTAGTGTGTGTCATTGTCTGGTGTTTGGTAGGTATATGTTCACAAAGGTGATGGGCTGGTTGCTAATTGATCCTTGCAGAATGATATAACGACTTGAATTGTCAACGTAGTGATTTTGATAGGTGAAGGGGAGTTGTGCTTTGATTAATATTGCTACCCCTCGTTTGCTATGGGTAAAGATGTTATAGTATGCATGTGGATAATGTTTGTTAGTTAATTTTGGTGCTTTTGGGTCTCTAAAGTGTGTTTCTTGCACAAACACCACGTCAGCTTGGAGTCTATGGAATTCCCTAAGTGCCATGTTTCTCTTTTCTGGAGCATTGAGTTCCCGGATGTTATAGGATACTATGTTTAATGTGTCGATTATATTCAAATGGTTCTTGGTATGTGTCATCATCATTCCCAGGAAAGATTGTCTTGAATAATTTGCTATTAGGTGCAAAATCTTAGTTTATATGCTGCGATACAGAGAAAGATTATAAGATCAATGAACTAAGATGTGTAATAAGTATCAAAAAAGGACAATATAACTTAAAAAACAAACGTGAATCCTGAATCTGGAATTCACTAACAAGAGTTGGTGTCTCCACCAACTGTCAAGGAGTCGGTGATCAATATCTTCCCCGTCAGCTTCAGTTGCTGAATCGGGATAAAACGCCCTGTAGTGTAACCTCAGGCGGTTAGTTGGGGGTTGTGTAGTTGTTTTATTTTGAAAGATGTAAACAGTCGTGGTTGTTGATCGTACTTGTCTGGTGGTATATAAGAAATTGTTATGGTTCCCTACAACCTCTCTTGATTTTTCTACCATTTTTTGCGCCGCCAAGCGCTAATGTACAGGCTAATGCATCTTAGTGGGTTTGGCTCTGGAGGTGCATGTCTGGGGAATGGACTGTTTACCTGTATCTTATTTGACGTAACAGCAATTTACAGCAGTGAATGTGTGTGCATGTATATCCAATGTTACAAAAAATATTTTCAAGAAAAAACATAAAACATTTCGAACACGATAGCAATCCCCTTGATATATAGTTATATATTGTAAGGATATGAAATAGTTAACTCTTTTTGTTTTATATGCTTTAAAATGATGTTTGAAATAATTATGCTGATCTTGGCAGATGTATTCTGTAACATGCTTTTGAGAGGCCTCCCTTCTACAGGATGTTGATGTATGACCTTGCTCGACCTCAGGATGTTCTTTATTCAAATGCTTATCTTTTAATGTCAGACAAGTATGTACTATTAACTACAAGGAAACGATAAATCTCGCTGCTTACCTGACAAACTGTGTATAAATGCTAGCCCTGAAAATATACTCACTGAGAACTTGTTAAGCACTCTTTCGTGTTTGTGTCTTAATTTGCTAAACAAGAACTCCCGTCAATTGATGTGGTGACCGGAGAATCGAGAATCGAGGAGAGTTGAGTCCAGAACAGAATTAACCCTTTCATCTTGGTGTCAGAAGTGGGATTACAGCAGGAGCATTGTGGGTAAGTAGCTTTTTTGTGTCTTATTGACGCTGATTGTCTATGACCCCCTTTGGTTCAGTAAGTCTGTATCCAGTAGATAGGAAAGGTTATATTGAGACTGTAAATAGGTCTCCGGTTTTTACTGGACAGTTGGTCTAGTATAGGGTTCTTGGTAACCCAGGTTAATATCTAAGATAGATACAGGTTTTGAGACTATATAAAGGAGTCTCCGATTTATTAAGACTATAGGTGTTCTAGGAAACATGGTTTATAGATCTAGAATAACCCAAACTTCCCATTCCTCTGGTCACCCTGTGTCTGCTTTGTGTTTATTTTGCTTGTTAAGTAGAGACACACTATGGTTAAGTAGGTAGTGTCTCTATCCTGAGCCAGAAATATGGGAAATAATCAGTCTATTTCTTACCCTTTTCCCCACCCAGGGGAGTCATGTCTAAATTATGCTACTAGAATAGGAGCACAAGGAAGATTTCTTACAATCCCCTTTGTGTCAAATTTAGCAGGATGGACAGAGACTATGAAGTCATCTGATCCTTTTCCCAGGTGTGGGGCTAATGAAGATTTCCATATGAATATGATTCGAGGATTGTGTTTGGGAGATAGGAAGTCATGGCCGTGGAGTGGTCCTGATCCAGATTGGGATAAGGAATATATGAAAGCAGGAGGTGAAAATTGGTTGCAGATAGCCTCTCATTGGTTTCCTTGTAGTGTAACAGGAAAGGTTTTAAAGGGAGCTAAGAAAGACCTGGCTAAGAGAAAGGGAACTGTTGACAGTAATACCATCCGCTTTCCCTTAGAAGCCCCTCCTGAAAATCTATATCCACCACCAATTGTGCCCCCTACCCAGTCAACCCCCAGCCATGCCCAACCATAACCCCCACCTCCCTATAAAGCAATGTATCCTGCTGTACCTAATGCCCCCTCAGAGGATGATATAGAAGATATTTGTTATTTGCTAATCCCTCTGCATGCCTAATGTATCTGAAAATAATGTGCTTAGGACAGAACATGACACAGATAGACATACAGTTAATTATAAATGGAATATTAGGGTATGACACAGATTCTGGTTGGGATTGGTCTAGGGTACCCTCTATCAGTGAGACAGACAACGGTAATGGAGTTGGAGAGGCTGGTAGTGATGGTGTTTATGAGCTTAGTACTTCAGCAGGATGTGCTAAAATGTGGGACGAGGTGGAAGCTGAAATGTTGATATTATGGAAGAATAAGCAGTCTATATCCACTGCTTTGGCATGTAAGCAAGGTGCAAAGGAAGAGATTGATATTTTTGTAAAGAGATTTTACAAGTGTTGGAAGGATGAGGAAGGTTTGAAGTCTGGAGATGATATGGATCTCCTTAAAATACAGTCATGCCTTGGTAACATAGGCGTGTGCCGGGTGTGCCTGGGCACACCCTATTCCCCACGGCACGCCTATGGAGTGAGACCAGCAGGGGAGATCTCAGGATCTCCCCTGTCGGCTTATGCAGAGCCGGCGCTATCCGAGCACTCAGCCTCCCTCCCCACCAACCCACAGGCAGGGAGGGAGGCAGGAGAGGACCCGGGGAGCTCTTGCCAACAGCTCCGCCCGGTTCTTCTCGCGAGAACGCTCAGATCTCGCGAGAGTGAACTTTAGCCTCGCAGGCTAGCGTTCACTCTCACCACTAGGACCACCGGCACACGCCTATGTTACCAAGGCATGACTGTATTTTAAGGAGATCCATATCATCTCCAGACTTCAAACCTGCCTCATCCTTCCAACACTTGTAAAATCTCTTTACAAAAATATCAATCTCTTCCTTTGCACCTTGCTTACATGCCAAAGCAGTGGATATAGACTGCTTATTCTTCCATAATATCAACATTTCAGCTTCCAGACTATGCCGTGGTACAGCTACCTGATAAAATCATTGAAGCTGACACTATTTTCCAGCTGTCTGCACAAGCTGCAGTACTCATTGCTCTCACACGTGCCTGTCAGCTTTTCTCAGGACAGCGAGTGAACATTTACACAGACTCACGATATGCTCATGGGGTAGTGCATGATTTTGGTGTGATTTGGAAGAGGCTTTGTAGGACCCGATGGAAAAGCCATTTCACACACAAATCTCATCCAATCACTCCTAGATGCTATCCTACTCCCATCTGAAGTAGCTGTTATCCACTGCAAGGCACATACTCTGGGTAGTGATGACATCTCCAGAGGTAATGCATTGGATGACAAAGTGGCAAAAGAAGTTGCAGCCGAGACTCTTTACTATGAAATGTTTCCTGCTATGCTCACACCTCCCACATGCCCTACTGACAGTTTGATTTGCAGCTTCAAGCCTTTGCAACGCAATCTGACTTTGATTTTTGGATTAAACAAGGTTTAAAGAAAGATCAGAATTATCTTTTCTCTAAAGAGGGGAGAATAGGCATACCTGAAGCCAGCTGCTTTATTTTCATCAGTCCGGCACATGGTCCCGGTCACAAAAGCATAGCAAGCACTTCCTCATGAATTCATTTTATATTAGGAATCTCAGGCAGCATGTACAGTCATTTGTAAGATCATGTGAACCATGTATGAGAACACATCCTAATATTCCACACAAATCACAGCACGAACATTTGCCCCCTCCATCTGCTCCTTTTACACACTTACAGATTGATTTTACTTATGTACCCAAAATTGGTAAGAAACAGCAATACTTACTGGTCATAGATGATCAGTTTAGTAGATGGCCCGAGGCCTTTGTGACATCTAGGGAAGATGCTAGGACTGTAGTGAAGATTCTTGCTACTGAAATTATTCCCAGGTATGGCTGCCCTCTGCAGATTAACTCTGATAATGGCCCGGCTTTTGCCAGTAAGGTTACCCAGGAACTTGCTAAATTCTAGGAACTTGCTAAAATCATCCACAGAGTTCAGGGGAAAGGATGAATAGGACCATTAAGGAGAAGCTTATGAAAGCTACTGCAGGAACATGGGTAAATTGGACAAAATATCTTCCAGCTATTTTAGCTGAGATAAGAATGACTCCCCACAAGGTGATTAAATTATCTCCATTTGAGATTCTGATGGGACGACCTTTTCCCACACCCTGGGCCAGGGAACCGCTTGTTATAATGTCTGGGGATTTACAGCTAATACAAGAACAATATGTACAGGAATTGTTGATAAAAGTGAATGGTATATATGGCAATGTTTCTTCAGTGTTTCCCTTACCTTCACAGGAACTTACTCATCCATACCAGCCCGGTGACAAGGTGTATATCCGTCAGCTGAACAGGACCAAGAAAGGAGAATACCCTTTCGGACCACCTGCTACTGGGATTGCTGTAACCAGAACCGCTGTCCTCACAGATTCCCACGACATCTGAATTCACGCATCCCGAGTGGGAACCAAGGAAGACAACACCACTCCTCACTCGGAAACAGAAGAATTTCCCCTTAGCTTTCACACCATATCGTAGACCAAGATTATGTTTTGCGCTATGCTTTCTGGAGTTGTTATACTCCCTCTGATATTGTTCCTTGAATGCCATTATGAGTCAATGGGAAATTTAAAACCTGTTTGTTTCTGGAGAAAAGACTCTGACACGAACAATTCTTCAATACCCCCAGTCCAATTAGGCCTTAGCCCCTCATCTAGCATTCGTCACACACGCTCCCTCAAGAACATTTCTCCACCACCTATCTATCAGCATGTAATATGCAATCACTCATTGACTGAACGAATTTGGATGAATTGGACAAATAATAACCCTTATAAGTACCAGTTACCCATATGGAATGTGTCCACAGCTAATGAAACCGGTGCATTATGTTTGTTTGAAGGTTCACGGAAAATTGTTAGATCTTATAACGCAGAAATGTGCACAATTAAGGTTGCTAATTACACTAGCATCTGTGCCACCTTATTTAATATAAGTTCTGATGGTAAGAAAAAACCACCTCAACAGGTTTGTGATACATATTATAAGAAAATTAGTAAGGTTGCATATCAATGTAAACAGACAGGCCTTATTACTTTTAATAATGATTATACAACTGGTACCATTAATTGGAAAAGGGGACAAATGTTAGTCATTATGAACGACACTGCAATTGAGAACTGTACACTACCTTATATTTTTACACCTTATTACTATCCTTTATCCTCTACCATAGAACCAAAAGTCAACAATGACACACACACACCTATTCCGTCCACATGTGTTAATACAACTGCCTTCTTACAAGCTGTATATGTGTCATTAAAAATCACTACTCCTGTTGTAACATTATGTAACACAGCAAACAAAAGGCAGACAAGAGAATGGTATGACACACTGTTAGGAGGTGCTGGAACCACCATGGGTATACTAAATAGTAGAGACATGGAGACCCTTTAAGAATAAGTTAAACACGGCCAGCATGCATATAGGGACTGGTTTCCATGCTACGGCAAACTGGGCTCCAACTGTTGTTAAATCACAGGTTACAGGATTGGATTTAGATAAATCAATGTATAACTATTTAGGTAATTTAACTGTTGCAACTATGAAATTCACTACAGGTCTAGGTAACTGGAGTACTTGTGCCATCAGGTATTTATGGATGCAACAACAAAGATTGGCATTAGAAGACACACTAATGATTCCTAAACTAGAGAGAATTAGAGGGATGCTTAACCTCACAGATAATGAATGGTTACTTCTAAAACCCCAATCCGCTAAATGCAATGAATGGTTAACTGGTAATGTTTCACATTTTTCATGCTCATGCTATTTAACACTATATCATACATCATCAAAGGATGTCAAATTAGCTTGTCAATTTAACACATTACCAGTACCAGTTTATGATCTCTTTGCCAGGAATTTAACCTGGTGGGAACCCACATACACAGGGGACTATATTTTCCCCAAAGATAATATGACCTATTCCCTCAAACACTGTGTTCTCACTGACAAAGGATATGCATGTCGACACTCGTCCCCTATTTACGAACCATGCTTACTCCAAAATGAACTTAACAAGTGCTTATGGCACATATATCCTGAAAATTATTTTACCATGACTGAAATAAGCACACCACATATCTGTTTGGCAACTAACCTCCCTACAAAAATAATTACTAGTAATACAAGTATTAATCTACCTCTCCCCTTTTCAGGATGTTTGACTAATGTTACCTGGTTAGATCTTAATGGCACCCAATATTATTTTAGCGACACAATCACTTGAGACAAACATATTAATATATTAATGCCCTATTAGGCTCTCTGCCTTTTAAAGATTACCATTAACCTCTTGAGACTATTGTCTCCTTAATGAAAGGAAAACAAAATATGTTTAAACATCTTGTTACACATAATGATGCTATAGTACACACACAGGTAGCCACACATATCCTAAAAGTAGAACTCCTTAAAGGACCACTATAGTGCCAGGAAAACATACTCGTTTTCCTGGCACTATAGTGCCCTGAGGGTGCCCCCACCCTCAGGGTCCCCCTCCCGCCCGGCTCTGGGGAGAGGAAGGGTTAAACACTTACCTTTCTGCGCGGGCGGGAGCTGTACTCCTCCTCTCCTCCTTGCTCGCGGCGTGCGATGCATGGCAGTGAGCGCAACAGATTCAGTTGTCACATAGGAAAGCATTTATGCTGGATGTGGCTCTCACTGTGATTTTCACAGTGAGAAGCACGCAAGCGCCTCTAGCGACTGTCAATGAGACAGCCACTAGAGGCTCTGGAGGCTGGATTAACCCTCAGTATAAACATAGCAGTTTCTCTGAAACTGCTATGTTTATTAAAAAAAAAGGGTTAATCCTAGAGGTACCTGGCACCCAGAAGTGGTCTGGGTGCCTAGAGTGGTCCTTTAAGGTGAGTTCACAAATTCAGAATGATTTAGCCCATCATTGGTTCGATACTTTTACTGGTTGGTCCCCTACTGGATACCAGATAATGAAATCATTCTTCTATCCTCTTGTAATTATAGTCCTGATTTTATTGTGTATGATTTTATATAACTGCCACCTTACTTGTACATTGAGGAAGAGAATACAGAAATTAATCCATAATGCAGAACAGAAACAATTGGAAATTCTCCTCTCTGCCACTGGAGGGTATCAACCCATCTTTAAAACTGGGCCTTAGGAATTACCACATGGGAATCGAGTTGAAGAAATTAATGAAAGTCCCGCAGGGAGTGAATAGCACCCCTGAAAATACCATGTGAAAGTTTCTCTGTCCTGGGAAGATTTTATCAATATTATGAGCAAATTTTTTGCTCAAAGAGGGGAATGTAAGGATATGAAATAGTTAACTCTTTTTGTTTTATATGCTTTAAAATTATGTTTGAAATAATTATGCTGACCTTGGCAGATGTATTCTGTAACATGCTTTTGAGAGGCCTCCCTCAAATGCTAATCTTTTAATGTCAGACAAATATGTACTATTAACTACAAGGAAACGATAAATCTCACTGCTTGCGTGACAAATTGTGTTTAAATGCTAGCCCTGAAAATATACTCACTGAGAACTTGTTAAACACTCTGTCGTGTCTGTGTCTTAATTTGCTAAACAAGAACTCCCGTCAATTGATGTGGTGACCGGAGAATCGAGGAGAATTGAGTACAGAACAGCATTAACCCTTTCATATATTGTGCGTTTCTTAGGTCCCACCTTTTCCAAGGGCTGTGAGTTTGTGGATCCCTCTAGTCACTACATAGGGGTGTTAGGTTTTTATGGAGGAGTAATTGTAGTATTTTTCTAATTTCTAATTTTTTTTATTTTTTATTATTAACAATAATATTAGTGGGAAGAAGATATGTTGATTACCTATGAAAGGGCAGTATTTAGCTTCGTACAAAGCTATATTAGATCTAATTCCTCTGTGCTTGGAGTCCCTCTTCCTCTGCCTTCATCTTCCTCCCTCCTCCGTTCTTCAACAATTTAGTTAACTTTTTAGTCCCCTTAAGATGTCTCAATATATGTTACTATATGCTTTTATCCGAAAAATACTATGTAGCGTCTAAGTTCCCTGTACATACTATATATATACATTACATGCATCTTCTGTAGTTGTTGTCAGTCCTCGCCAGGTAATTCTAAGTTTTAGAAAGTCCAAGACTATGACCAAGCCTAGGTTCTTCTTAGAATCAGATGCCTCAGCCTGCGCAACATTCAAGTCTCAGTAAGTGTCACTTTGACTTGTAGAAATATTGAGTTTGAGTGTAGACATCTGGGTGTTCCTTCAAACGTCCTGGGAAGCAGGTCTGGGCCTAGATGCAGGTGTAAAAGGGAGTCTCTTCCCTGTTATTCTCCTCTTCTCCGTCTGGCCACTCCATCTGGGTCTTTGAGGTAGAGCCTGTGAAGATCCTTGTGGCCATGGGTCATACCAGTCTTGTATATCCATCTGGGGGATATCAAATAGCTTAAGGAAATCGGGTATATCATGCACTGTTGTGTTCCGTGTTGCGATGCTGTAAGGGAGGACGGGTATCCCCAGTGGTAGTGGATCTCCTTTGCCTGTAATGCCTGTGTGAGAGGTCGCAAGGCCCTCCTTCCCTGCAACGTTTGCCAAGCCAAGTCTGTTAGATTTTGGATTTGTGTTGGGGAGGCATTTAGGGCTGGAGAATTCCGTGCTAGGTGCAAAATACCTTCTTTTAGATTGTAGTAGTAAATTCTACAAATAATATCTCTCGGTGCATCTTGTAATAGGCCCCGTGGTCTCACTGCTCTATGAGCTCTGTCCAGTAATATAGGTGTTTATACTGGACATTGTAGAATGGTATTAAATAGAGTTTGTAGTATCTCTCTGACATTTTCGGGGTCCCCCTGCGCCTCCGGTATGCCTCTTATACGAAGATTATTTATTCTGCCTCTATTATCGAGGTCTTCTGTGTGGCGTAGTTTCTGCACAATTTTGGTGTCCTGTGCATCTTGTCTCTGTTCTAAATTGTAGATTTTCAACTGGATATTATCTCTGTCTCCCTCTAAATCTCCCACCCGCAGGCCTATTTGTCGTACCTCAGCAGTGATGGAAGATAGCTTCTCCTGCATGGAGGCATCGAGTCTCGTCAACATAGAGGCCATGTCTTCCTTAGAAGGGAGATGTTGTATTAGTTCCTGAAGCATGATGTTCCCGTTTGAGGTAGTAATTTTCAAACTCGCCAGGCTGTTTGGCGGTTAGACAAGTGGTGAAGATGGAGGCTTGTACGCTTCTGTCTCTGCAAGCGCCCAAACTTTATCTCTGAAGTAACGGTCCAGATCACCGGCTTTCTTGCTGGAAGTCTTGCCTGGGGTCTCTTGGGTTTCTTTTTATTACCCATATTTTCTTTTGGTTGCAGCTTGGTGGCTATTTTGTTGAGGTTGATCGGGAGCTCAGTTAGGTTGCGACCGTTCACATTGCCAGTCAAGCCACGCCCCCTAATGCATTTTAGTTTTTGCTAATTTTTAAAACTAAAAACTACATTCCTGTAATACGTAATGGAAAAGAAAGCTCAGATCACTGGAAAACCAGTGATTCGAGCATATACTGGAACAATAATGATTAAAATAGTAGGTAGTGTAATGGATAAAGTTGCAAATATATATATATATATCGAAATTCTTATCCAAATTATCAGGTCATCCAAATGAGAAAATAGTGTGAACAAGCCAAATAGGCAAAAACCTCCCTAAAACTAAACCGTGACTACGATGCACTGCAGACTATTGACTTTAATATATCTTCATTGGTCAAAGTCTGTATATAGTGACAAATAAATATCTATAGAGTCACTGGATAAAGATTCCCAGTTCCTAAAAATACTGCCTGTAACTGTAAATATTGTGGTACCGACAGTGAAATAATGTATCAAACTTTAAATTTGAGTGTATAAAGGACTCCACTTATTGCAATAGAGCTTATATGTAGCTCTGTTCTAAATTAATGTGCTGTAGAAACAGTAGCCAAATTACTCAATTGTAGAGAGTAACAATCAAACTAATATTATAGTATCCTGTGTAAAGACTAATAATATTAAATAGATATCAATAGTCAAATAATCATCAATCTCGTTCAAATGTTACTAAATAGAGATAAGGAATTAGGACAGGAAAGGAGGTTAGAAAGCTATTAAAATACTAATGTGCAGAACCATACTTAGGATGTTGGTTGCCTGCACATAGTGAAAGTGCCCAGTGAAATAGTGAAAAAAAGTGAGAAATTGGAAAACCTGACGCGCGTTTCGGTGCTTATAACATGCACCTTCTTCGGGGGCCAGAATTGGAATGACTGTATAGATACTGACTTATATACCAATTAGTTCCTCCAGCGAAATTCTTAATAGTCCAATCACAAGTGGGTAACGTTACCGTTATGTTCGCGCCAAAATTCTCAATGTTTGAATATGTAAATGAGGCTGTTCAAACGCCCCTATCAGATTCATTGTGGGTGGGAGCGAACTTTTTACCCGAGTAGTTAACTCCTTAATGACTTCACAGTAAAATACAAAGCATGTTGGATAATGTGCATCAGCCTTAGTGTAAATTTATCGTAATGACTCTATTGACAGCAGAATATTTTTATGTTAAGCGCTACCGATCCCAGCAGGAGCTTTATGCCTGGTATTTGTGTATGTTATTAGCAATAATTGCCCCTTGATGTTTTACATTGAATATTTGCACTGACGAATTATCAAATACGTACGATTCCTTATCTCTATTTAGTAACATTTGAACGAGATTGATGATTTGACTATTGATATCTATCTAATATTATTAGTCTTTACACAGGATACTATAATATTAGTTTGATTGTTACTCTCTACAATTGTGTAATTTGGCTACTGTTTCTACAGCACATTAATTTAGAACAGAGCTACATATAAGCTCTATTGCAACAAGTGGAGTCCTTTATACACTCAAATTTAAAGTTTGATACATTATTTCACTGTTGGTACCACAATATTTACAGTTACAGGCAGTATTTTTAGGAATTAGGAATCTTTTATCCTATATCTAGTGACTCTATAGATATTTATTTGTCACTATATACAGACTTTGACCAATGAAGATATATTAAAGTCAATAGTCTGCAGTGCATCGTAGTCACGGTTTAGTTTTAGGGAGGTTTTTGCCTATTTGGCTTGTTCACACTATTTTCTCATTTGGATGACCTGATAATTTGCATAAGAATTTATATATATATATATATATATATATATATATATATATATATATATATATTTGCAACTTTATCCATTACACTACCTACTATTTTAATCATAATTGTTCCAGTATATGCTCGAATCACTGGTTTTCCAGTGATCTGAGCTTTGTTTTCGGTTTACCATTTAGGGGTTAAGCCCCTGGACACCCCTGGAGTGTCCGTGTAGATGTCTTTATGGAATCCACAGTAGGTTTGCCCTTTTAGGATCAAACCTTTACTAGTGGTTTCCATTATTACATTTTACTGTAATACATAATAGTTGAAAATCTTAATTGTTCCAAAAATTATACTAATACTCTTATTTCCATACATGCATACTCTGCATAAATATAAAAAAAATATAGTGGAATACTTACAGAAATACTTCTTCCATATAATGCACGCTGTAAAATAAATATATATATATATATATAAATTTTTTTGGTTTAATAACTTGTTTTTATTGTTTTCAGGAAGAAAATAAGTGTTTGGGATACAGAAAAAAGAAAAAGGGGGGTTATTCAAGGGTAACATAGTGGGGATCAACTGCACAATGCACAATCCACAGAGCAACACTTTACATTTGTCAGATGCCTGGTACCAGTTGTGGATTGCTGTTAGATTATGCACATGAAGTCCCAATATACATTACATCTTGTACCCATTACTTTCCCTGAGTGTATGTGTGGTATTGTGTTCATCAGGTATCTCGGTAGTTCTATGCAATCTCATCTCTGTCTATGTATATGGCTATTGTGTTGTTGTGTGCGCCACGGGGAATGATGCAAAGGAGGTACGACTGGTGTGAGGGGGACGGACGAAGGGGGGGCATCCTGCTAAGATTGAGATTATCCGGTATCTGAGCTATCTCCTTTGGGGTCTCCATGTATCCTCAGTTGACCATACATGTCGCACAGAGATTTATCTGCGGAGGGGTTGGGGAGGGCCCCTCTAGGGCTTAGGTCCTACTGGGGGGAGGGGAGGGAGTCCAAGAATTTTATCCAGGGTTCCCATTTCTTTGCATATCTGTATCTTCTTCCTATTGCTGACCAGTTTATCTCTTCTAATTCCCTTGTTTTCTCCATCGTCTGCATCCATTGCTCTCTGTATGGGATGTTGGGTTGACGCCAGTACATCAGGATACGGGCATTGGCTTCTCCCATATTAAGGTTCAGTAGTTGCTGTTTATGCATTTCCTTAAAGGAACGCGGCTAATCTAAAAGTACTAGGGATGGGGTTAAGCGGGTCTGCAGAGGCATGATTTCGGCGATATCAGTTAGTATTTGTCGCCAGTACGGGGCTATGTCCTTATAATGCCACCAAATGTGTTTCAAATCTCCCTGTTCTCCTTTACACCTCCAGCATTTATCATGGACTGTGGGCCAAAAGGTGTGGAGGTTTGGGCTGATCCCCTACTGCTGCTTAGAGCATGCAGTATATGTAAGATAGGGGGAGTTTGGATGCGTTCCCTGGGCCACAAAGAAGTTCAAAGGGTGTTTTGTCCCTTGGGCACAAGATGGGAAGGACTGAGTGGGTCAAGCAGTTGTTTAATTGGGTCCTGCCCATAATGTCTAGTAATGTCTACTGTTGGTTATGCCTGGGGAAGACCTTTAATTTGGGAGGGTGCTCTGCTGTCAGGACTTCTGCTATGTCTGGGTTGGGGATTCCGGTTATTCGGGATAATATTCTGGAAATCTGGGTTGGCCACTAGTGGGAAGAACGCAGAGAGTCCTGGGCACAGTCCCCAGCTGTCCCTCTGTCTTCGCCACACTTGGAGAGTGTTGTATATGAGTGGGTGGTGTGTAGGGGAGAGTTCTTTAAGTTGGCACGTCTGCCAGTGTAGTGTGTAGAGGGGAACCCTCGCAAAGCTCTGTTCTAGACTGTACCAGGACTTTTTCCTATCTGTGTCTGTCCATTCTTTTATGCGAGTGAGTAGAACCGCTACATAGTACTTGTATAAGTGAGGTAGTCCCAGACCCCCACTGCCCAGAGTGGCCGTCAATGTAGAGTAGGCAAGCCTCGCAGGCTTGTTGCCCCATGTGTAAGATCATCATCTTATTACATTGCCTCGACCCATTAGGGAGAAATGTTGGTATGTTGGTTGTGGTCGCCCCATGTATTATGTTGAGAATGTTCGTGTTGTCGTCCCTGGCCTCACGTCCAGGTACAAAGCCAGCCTGGTCAGGGTGGATCAGTACAGGCAGAAGGGGTTTGAGTCGGTTGGCAATCAGTTTGGCCATAAGTTTTAAGTCTAAATTTATAAGGTATATAGGCCTAAAGCTACCGCATGCTGTGGGGTCCTTTCCAGGTTTAGGGATGATAGTAATTGATGTTCGTATCATTGGAGGTGGGAGTGAGGAGTCCTGACCTAGCCCATATAGCATTTTAAGAAAGTGTGGCCCTAGTTCTTCAGCAAGTGTTTGGTAGTAACGTGCTGTCAGTCCGTCTGGGCTTGGACTTTTGCCTTTTGGCATGGTCTTAATAGCCAAGGATAGCTCTGCAGGGGAGAATGGCTCTTCCAATGTATTTGCCACTGTGCTGGGGATAATGAGTGGGAGATTTGAGGTGGTATATTTCTGCATGTCAGGGGATGTTCCCGCTGGGGGGGTTAGATTATAGAGGTTGCGATAAAAATCACAAAACGCCTTGGCTATGTCATCAGCATTGCTTCCCGTTTCTATCCCTTATCTTGGCAATAAAGGATCTCTGGAGCTTTGCCTTCAAAGCCAGGGCCAGTAGCTTCCCGCTTTTGTTGCCGTGGGCATAGAAGGAGCTCCATCGGCAGTTGGACCGACCTATGTGCTTTTAGGGCTAATAGGGATCAGAGTTCTATCCTGAGGGCTGTGAGCTTTTGAAAGGTTTCCTGCGTGGGGTCCTGTTTATGTAGGATCTTCTTCTCATGTATGGCGTCTGATAGGGCGATCTGTTTGTATGTTTGCTCTTTCTTAATTCTAGATCCCAATTTGATCAGGGTACCCCTAATGACCCCCTTGTGGGCTTCCCAGATCCATGAATCTGAGACCTCTGCTGTGGCATTGTCTGTGAATTAGTGGTGTAGGGTCGTCCGTAAGTCTTCCAGTACACTAGGGTCGTCTAGGAGGGTCTTTTTTAATCGCCAGTTTGTGTGGTGTTTGGTGTCTTTCTGGAGTGGTAGAGTCAAGAATATTTGGGGATGGTCCGACCATGTGATGTTGCCTATGGTCACATGACCTAGCATGGGGAGATGTCTATGGCTAAGGAGAAACATGTCTATTCTGAAGTAGCTCTTCGCTACTGGGGAATAATATGTATAGCCCCTATCTTGTTGGTGGAACAGATGTCAGCAATCCATCAGCTGATGGGTATGTAGAGTATTTGCAAATAAAGTGCGCTGGTGGCGTCTGTTGTCTGTGGTTTTAGAGGAACTATCAATCGGGTGAACTAGGACAAAGTTCCAACCCTCCCCCCCCCCACAACCCCCTCAGAAAAAAAACCTCCAGCTTGGTCAGGCAGGAGCGGATAAAGGACTGATCTGAGTTTGGGGGCGTATATGTTTGCAAGTGTTATTAGCATACCATTGTAGTATCCTTTGACAAACACGAATCTCCCCCCTGGATATGTTTTGATGCTGGTCTCTGTGAAGGCTGCATGTGAAGCCATTAGTATCACTACCCCTCTAGATTTTCCCTTCCCATAATTACTGTAGTACGTCTGTTGTATATGTTTAGAACTGAACTTTAGTTGGAAATCACCCCTGTAGTGTGTTTTCTGCAGGAATATTATGTCGGCTCTCTGCCTGTCTATTTCCTGTGCTAAGTCCCCTTACATTCAGGGACATTAATTTAGTCTGTGCCATATGGACTGTTTGGTCTACCTTGTGTCATGAGAGGAGTGCCAGGGGAAGCTCTGCAAGATATAATGCGGTGAAGGATGGTGAGAGTGGGACCAAAGAAGGGAGGGAAAAACTATTTACATGAATATGATACGAAAGCGTCATATTGGTAGTGAGTTTGGTGCTGCACCTGTGGAAGATGTGGACGTGTCCCCAAGTGGTTTTTTAGGCACCTCTCTGGGGGATGGTGACCAAAATGCTGTAACAGGGGTTAAGTGAGGGCATTTCCGTGAATGGAAAATAAAAGAGATGAGACAGCGCTAAATAACTTCTGCAGCAACCTTAAAAAGGGAATCCCTCAAACCCTATAAAACAAGATAAAAAAATAAAAACAATAAAAGGCTGCGCACGTAAAATAGAGTCCAATAAAAGGGAAAAAGAGAGAAAAGTCCAACTGGTATATTCTTACAGGTGTCCTTGGTTGGTGGGATCTTCTATTTATATGGTGATTTCACTCGTTTATGAAAGATAAAAAAGAGGAAAAAAGGGACATCTAATGGTGTAGTATGTAAAATACAGGTATAAACGTAAAAATAATAGTATAAAACTCACATTTACCAGAGCTAATGTCCAGCTCTGGAGTAAGGCGCGTACAGCGGTTTAATCCCCGCTTATGGGATATAAAGCAGGTTCCTCTCCGTGGAATGGTATCCAATTCTCGGGATAAAACAAACAGCCAATAGTGCTCACTGTATGGCAAATAATAATAAGATAATAAAAGAAATGTACTTACAAAGAAAGAGCAGACCCACTGCTCTTTTTTGATGGCTTGGGTGGATTGAACCCCACCTACGGATTTCTTTGGGTACAGGAAACTTCCAGGAATTTTTTAGGTTTTCTTTAAAACCATTAAAAATAATTAAAATAGCAGTAAGAAGGCCAGGGTAAAAAGAAAGATATGTGTCTATAAAAAAGATAATTGGCACAAGCAAATGACCAAAAATACTTTAATATATATAAAAAACACAATATTCAAATATCCATATTTGAATATTGTGTTTTTTATATATATTAAAGTATTTTTGGTTTATACAGGTATAAACTTAAAAATAATAGTATAAAACTCACATTTACCAGAGCTATAAAAACTACTTTAATATATATAAAAAACACAATATTCAAATATCCATATTTGAATATTGTGTTTTTTATATATATTAAAGTATTTTTGGTCATTTGCTTTTGCCAATTATCTTTTTTATAGACACATATCTTTCTTTTTACCCTGGCCTTCTTACTGCTATTTTAATTATTTTTAATGGTTTTAAAGAAAACCTAAAAAATTCCTGGAAGTTTCCTGTACCCAAAGAAATCCATAGGTGGGGATCAATCCACCCAAGCCATCAAAAAAGAGCAGTGGGTCTGCTCTTTCTTTGTAAGTACATTTCTTTTATTATCTTATTATTATTTGCCATACAGTGAGCACTATTGGCTGTTTGTTTTATCCCGAGAATTGGATACCATTCCACGGAGAGGAACCTGCTTTATATCCCATAAGCGGGGATTAAACCGCTGTACGCGCCTTACTCCAGAGCTGGACATTAGCTCTGGTAAATGTGAGTTTTATACTATTATTTTTACGTTTATACCTGTATTTTACATACTACACCATTAGATGTCCCTTTTTTCCTCTTTTTTATCTTTCATTTCCGTGAATGTTTAAGATAACGATATTAACCGCTCCCAGCTCAGGGGCATAACCCGGATTCCAAATAATCGATATACCCGGTATTCAGGCTCCTATGGGTCCCATTAACCCTAAGCATACATTTGTATTTCTATATACAATGGCTGTAAGAGCCTGGCTATCGTAAACATACATTCAATTTGTGTGACAATGGCAACATATCTAAACATGGTAAATGGTAAGTTTCACTAATGTGGGGTGTTTTAGCGCAAAGGATATGAGCGTATGTCAGTAACAGTCCTCAGGCCGCTTTGTCTGTGTGCGTAATAGGGGTCTTGGTTCCCAGCTGGATCTGTCTTTTGCGCTTTCTTGGCGTTCTTTGCCATCTGGATCTTTGTGGCACCTGTTTGGATGTGCAGCTCGATAGGCCAGTCCAATCTTCAAATTCGGTGTGGGGTAGGCCAAAAACCTGTTGGAATTCTGGTACATCCAGCGGTGTAGTGATGGTGTGTGTCTTGTTTTGGTGCGTCACCATGAGGGAAAATGAAACGTTCAATTTAAATTTAACATGTCTCTCCAGCAGGGCCTGAGTAATGGGCCTCAGTGCACATCTGGCCTGCAAAGTAGAGGGCGAGAGGTCTTGATAGACGGCCACTGGGTGACCATCATGTGTCAGTTCTTTGTATTGGTGTGCTTTATGGAATATTTCCTCTCTCAGGGGGAAATTATGGATGCAGAATATAAGGTTGCAGGGTTTGTCTGGTAGTAAATTATGTGCCCTGTCAAATTGGATGGCAGTGTCAGGGGGTCTGGGAAGGATGAGGTTAAAAAGGGTACTCAAAACCTGTATGGGGTTCTCCGTGGCGCCTTGTGGTCTGCGATTGTCAACATCTTCCAACCTCCTTTGCAGGTATATTTTGGCGTCGGAGTGCAGTTTCTGTGGTATGGCACTCAGACCATTGCCGTTCAGTGGCCTCGTCCTCCTCCTCTAAGGCCTGTACTCTGGCTCCTAGGTGTTGGACGTCAGTGCTTAGTGCCTGTAGTTTCTCACTAAAGCTGTCTTCCAGTCTTTGGAACAGAGCTGCAAGGTCATTCCTTGATGGCAGCTGTGTGAGCAGTGTTCTAATGTCTGTGTCCTTCGTAAAGTATTCCGATGCGATGGGCTGGAGGGCTGGCTGACTCGTATGCTAGCCGCGGGCACCATTTTGCTCCGCTGCTGCGGTTCAATTTGGTCAGTGAAAAATCTCCTCCTTGAGGATTGAGGACAGATTATCTGTGGCTGAGGTATTCCCCACGGTGTTGCACTTTTTTTTGGTTGCCTTTGTTAATGCCGGGTTTCACCTATTTCTCCCGGTCACGGACGGAGTTCGGCTCTCGTGCTGCCATTCTCCTCGGAGTCTCATGCCTTTTAAAAAAAATAAATAAATAATTATTATCGTGCTTTAGCAATAAATACAAAAATATTGCTGGGAATAACGTATTTACTGGAATCTAATGAGCACCTCCCTTTTTGAAACCTGAAAAAATTTTTTGCTGGTGAATGCAATGCGCATTTATACAAGAAGATACTACTATATAACATTGTATTACAATGACCGTGTTTATTGCTATTTATCATAGTAACATTGATGGTGTTTAAATTTTAGTGTTGCATCTTAAGTCTCTTTTTTCTTAAGCCCTCATTCAGTAACAAAATTTGCCTTTGTGAATTCTGCAGAATGAAATTTGCCTGTATGAATAAGCCTGTGTGATTTCACCAGTTTGAATTTGTGAGTTTAAATTCACCAGTTTTAATGCGCCAGAATGAAATTCGCCACAAAATTTAGAGTTTTCCCCCCAAATGGCATCGAATTTAATGAGCATTCCTATTTTGGAAAGTTTATTTTCAAAAAAAGGTGCACATTAGATTTGAGTAATTATGGTGCTTTACTCATATAAATCAACACACTCTATAAAGTGATTAATATATTTGATTACAATCGAATATGAATGTGCTTTTTAGTTCAGAATTTTTTTTACAAATTATTATTGCCTTAATCTTTAAGGTGCAAACCTTTAAAGTGTTTTCAAACACACAATACAAACTAGTATGCAAACATATCGATATATACAAATGGGGAAAAAACCTGTGATGCGAAAAAGAGACTTGCGTCCATCAAGTTCAGCCTTCCTCACATATGTTTTTGCTGTTGATCCAAAAGGCAAAAAACCCAGTCCAAATTTTGCAACAAACTGGGAAAAAATTCCTTCTTGAACCCAAAATGGCAGTCAGATATCTCGTTGGATCAAGCAGCTATTAGAAAATATATCCATGTATGTTATGTTTTTGTAAGTATTTATCCAATTGCTGTTTAAATATATCTATGAATTCTAAAAAAAAAAAATCTCTTCCAGCAAAGAATTCCACACCCTTATAGTTCTTACTGTAAAAAAAAAAAACTTTTTCTTTGCCTTAGATTAAATCTCTTTTCTTCAAGCCTAAATGTGTGACCTTGTGTCCTATGTATATCCCTATTTATAAATAGATTTCCAGATAATGGTTTGTACTGGCCCC